CTGGCAGGCATCCATAGCTTCTATTCTTTAACATGCACATAATTCTATTCCTTGGTTAAGATATTGACTCCATTATTATACTTACTTTTTCTGGTATAGCAAGGTTTGAACTGAGGAACATAGCTACTTCATAGATAATAAATTATTTGTCTCTACAAACATTTTTACCTTGATTTTGTTAGTCACATGACTTTCTAACAGTGATCTTTGAAGTATATAGTGGTATGGTAAAAGAATACCATAAATATTGGAAATTAAATATGTTTGGGTTTTTTGGAGTTTTTTATTTTAGAGAAAGAGAGAGCATGAGTGGGTGGGGGGGAGAGAGAATCTTAAGCAGGCCCCACACTTATCACAGAACCCAATGCAAGACTCAGTCCCACGACCCTGGGATCATGACCCAAACTAAAATCAAGAGTAGGACGGTAGGGGCACCTGGGTGTCTCAGTCAGTTGGGCATCCGACTTCAGCTCAGGTCATGATCTCACAGTTAGTGCCCATATCGGGCTCTGTGCTGACAGCTCAGAGCCTGGAGCTTGTTGTGGATTCTGTGTCTCCCTCTCTCTCTGTCCCTCCCCTGCTCACGCTCTCTCTCTCTCTCTCTCTCTCTCTCTCTCAAAATAAGTAAACATTAAAAGAAAAAGAGTGGGACCCTCAACCAACTGAGTCACCCAGGTGCCCCAGAAATTAAATTTATTGAATGAAATTTAGATTTTATAAAATTCAGGATGACTTTGTTACTATATCAGGATCATTTTTTTTTTAATTTTTTTTAACGTTTATTTTATTTTTGAGACAGAGAGAGACAGAGCATGAACGGGGGAGGGACAGAGAGAGAGGGAGACACAGAATTGGAAGCAGGCTCCAGGCTCTGAGCCATCAGCCCAGAGCCCGACGTGGGGCTCGAACTCATGGACTGTGAGATCGTGACCTGAGCTGAAGTCGGACGCTTAACCGACTGAGCCACCCAGGCGCCCCTATCAGGATCATTTTTTAATAAAAAAGTTGTTTGAGCTACCTTTACTTATTTGATTTAATATCCCATGTGGGTCTTAATAAGTTGACATTTAGTTTGGAAAGAAATTTTGGCCAAGTTGTGGCTGTAAGATAAAACATATATTAGATTAACTCTTAATGATTATACCCTGAAAGGATTGTAGAAACTAACATTGAGAGCCATTTATAATGCATAACATAAGATGCATAACATTAGATGTCTGTTGAAATGTTCTAGATGTTTAAAGTACAGCGCCATTTTTTCCCTATATATGATAAGAAAAAAAAAGCTATAACTTGGGGGGAATAGAATGGAAAAGAGAGAAAAGGGATGGGGAGAGCTGAGGCGGCTGAGGTATATTAGTTTCAAGGGGCTGCTATCATATAACAAAGTAGTACAAGCTGGATGGCTTCAAACAAAAGAAATCGATTCTCTCATGGTTCTTGTTGGTTTGAAGTTCTAAAATCAAGATGTCGGCATGGTTGTGCTCTCTCTGAAGGCTCTGGGTGAGGATCCTTCCTTGCTTCTTGCTGCTTCTAGTAGTTGTCCTCAGTCCTTATGTTGTAGATCTGTCACTCCAGTCTCCTCAGTCCTTATGTTGTAGATCTGTCACTCCAGTCTCAACCTCTGTTGTCACGTGGCATTCTCCCTGTGTATATCTCTGTCCACATTTCCTTCTTCTTAAAGGACACCCGTCATATTGGATTTAGGTTGAGGGCCCATTTACAGATATAGGATGGATATAAACTGGGGGGGAGGGGACGCTATTCAACCCAGTTCAAAGGGTTCTAAATTCAATTTAAATTTTGAGATAAGCCAACACACTAGATTTATCTGCCTAATACAAAGCAAACAGGTAAGATACATTTTACGTAAAAATTTTTTATTTGCAATTATATTCACTTATATGCTTTCCCATTGTGTAGGCCCACGCCTAGGTATCTAGCATTTTCCCTTCATGTGATAGAAATTACATTAAAGGAATATTTTGTTATGAAACCTCTGTTTATATAGATGTGGAGCCAGAAGACTTTCCACATTACCTCTTAATAGCTCAATATTTATAGAACCAAGCTAGACTTTTTTTTTTGAACGCTTTAACTGCTATTAGAATAATAATTTTGGGGTGCCTGGGCGGCTCAGTCAGTGAGGCATCTGACTTCAGCTCAGGAGGTCATGATCTCACAGTACATGAGTTTGTCAGCTCAGAGGGTCATGATCTCACAGTCCAGGAGTTCGAGCCCTGCATCAGGCTCTGTGCTGACAGCTCAGAGCCTAAAGCCTGCTTCAGATTCTGTGTCTCCCTCTCTCTCTGCCCCTCCCCTGCTCATGGTCTCTCTCTCTCTGTCTCTGTCTCTGTCTCTATCTCAAAAATAAATTAAAAAACATTTTAAAAAATTTAAAAAAAGAATAATACTTTTATTCTTTTTATTTTATACCCACGACATCTAACAGCTCCTGGTGCTGATTTATTGAATGAATAATGCATTAATGAAAGAATGGGGTATGCGTGTGTGTGTGTGTGTGTGTGTGTGTGTGTGTGTGTGTGCCTGTCTGTCTCTCTGTCTGTCTCTGTCTCTGTTGAAGGGTTGTCAGCAAAGGCATGATAGAATGAATTTTTATTTAGCAAACATATTTCCCTCTATCCTTTTTAAAACCCAACTGGTGGCATCCTTGACACACTGGTCTGAATTTCGTTGTTATTACTTTTAGTATATCATTTCATATTGGTATACAGATGCTATGGTTCATAATATTCCTTTGCATAGATATATAATAATTTACGCTCCCTTTTTAGTTTTAATTGTGAAAGATACAGAACATGAAATTTACCATCTTAACCATTTTTAAGTATATACTTTGGCATTGTTAAGTATATTCACATTATTGTGTAGTCAATCTCCAGAACTTTTTTATCTTGCAAAACTGAAACTCTACTATTGAACAACACCATTCCATTTCCCCCTCCTGGAAACCATCATTTTTTTCAATTTCTATGAATTTGAGTTAGTCTCTCTTTTGAATCGTTATCCTCTTTGCTCTTACAAACAAGGCTGCAGTAACTAGCTTTGCATATGTGTCATTCTGCACATAAATAAGTATATCTGCAAGATGAATTCCTAGAAGTAGAATTTCTGGGTAAAAAGATTTTTGCATTTCTCAGTTTTGATATATATTGCCAAATTGACTTCCCAAACTGTTGTACCAATTCAGACTCCCCACAGCAATGTACGATAGAGCAGCTGTTTAAATGTGTTTCAGTAGTTAGCATGTCAGCTGAGCTGAATTGGGAACTTGGGAAAGGAAAGTCTGCTCGGTAAGAAAGTTGGTGCTACTGCATTTTTCAAGGGGCTGGGCTCTCTCCCAGTATTCTGTCTCTATTCTTTAAGGATTATTTGATGTACTTTAGTGTAGTTTTATCCTGCATTTACTTAAAAAATTTTAAATAAAAATTTTTCCCACATAGTATATAGGCTATTTGAGTGTTGGTAATAAAATAGATTTGAATCTGATAGAATGATTAGAATACCTCACTTTGCAAGGAGGTCCTACAACTTAATACTATATGTTTAGCTCGGCTGAAAATTTCCTTAATACAAAATTCGAAGGTCTTTAAAATCAATGAATAGATGGGTTTTAACAGAAAGGAAAATCAACAGACTGCTTTTCTGAAATGCATTCTTTTTAAAAAATTTTTTTATTTTGTGTGAGAGAGAGACAGAATGAGTGGCGGAGGGGCAGAGAGACAAGAGACAGAGAGAGAGAGAGAGAGAGAGAGAGAGAATCCCAAGCAGGCTGTGTGCTGTGCTGTCGATGCAGGCCTCGATCCCACGATCCTAGGATCTGAGCCAAAATCAAGAGTTGGCCACTTTGCCAACCAAGCCACCAATGTGCCTCTCAGAGAACTCTTACGAGGAGCTCCACTATGTTGGGGTGACAATGAAGGGTGACTGGAGAAGGAAGAAGGCTGGGGGAGGCAGAGCCGGTGGGCTCCACATCTCCTCAAGCCTAGTTCATCCAAATTATTACACATGGGTGGCTTGAGTTCTTTACTTTTAGCAGTGTGTGAGGTTAGTGAGTACTAATGTGTAACCAGCCTCTCGTAATTCATGTCAGACGTTTGAGGAGCCCTAGAAGCTTTGTCTCGTAGAATCCTGATGTGTAAAACTGATGCTCAATTATATTATTTCTCTGAAGTAAATTTACTGTAAAATGAGGCATATTAAAGCAGTTTCCTGCATGGAGATACCACTGTTTTCCTCAGAGTGTATGTATAGGTTTTAGTACAATGACTTTTCATCTGGAGATTTTAAACATTAGTTTTCTTATATTCAAATGAAACTATTTGCATATATTTGTGATGTTTTCACATTTTATTATAAAGTAGAAATACACTTTATTATGCAGTATATTTGAAGGGTTCTGGAGACCTTCTCCCAATCATGATCAACATCAGTGGTTTGGAATTCATTCCCTCAGAATTTTTTAACGTATAAAATAATATTTAAATTTTATTCCTTCTTTAAAAAGGTGGAATCATGCTATATATACTGTTTTGTGATTTGCTTTACTTGATAACAGGTCCTTTCTGGGTTAGTGCATAGAGATACATTCTGGTCTTTAAGTGGACGTATACTCTTCTATTATATCATAATTTTGTTATCCGTTCCCCTGTTGGTAAACATTGGAGTTCCAATAAGTATCCCTTATGCATGTATCTTTACCTATTTGGACAAATGTTTCTGCAGGATACATTTGAGTTCTAAGAAGTAGAACTTATATATCAAAGGATGACCATTTTACATCTTAATGGGTATTTTGGTGCTCTATAAAATGTTACATCAGTATATCAACATCCTGATATTTATAGGAAATAAACTTAGTTCAGACTTTAAGAAGTTTTAGCGAGGTGATGTGTCATCATTGATGTACACCAGTTATTCTAATATAAGGTTTTTAGTAATGTAAAACCTTTAAAGTGACAGCTTTTTTATTCTTACAGTGATGGAATGGGGGGATGATATTAAAGCGGTTTCCAAAGATGAAGCAGTAATGTTGGTGAATCATCAGGCAACAGGAGATGTATGCACTCTGATGATGTGCCTCCAAGACAAAGGACTGGTAAGCCATCCTGAATGCAGAGGTGGACGGGAGAAGGGGGAGGTTAACAAAGAATCAATTCAAGTATCTTACTGCGGTTTGGAACATAAACTTTAATATGTATACTTTTTCTGAAAATTGAGAAAATTTTAAAAAGAAAAATACATACAATTCTAAGTAATTCTGACTATAATTAGAATTCTAATCTATAATTCAAAATATTATTCGAGCTCCAGGACAGGAATTTGGAGACTTTCAAAAAAGTAGCTGGAAAATAATGTGAATGAGCTGTTTTTTTAAAAAATAATTGAGGTAAAAGCAGAGTTAATATGGTTCAAATCGGGGACTGTCTTGAGGTGAAGTGGTGGATCACTGGTTTGAGAAATACACAAAAAGCAGTAGTGTTTAAGAGAGAGGTCCGTGAATTAGATGATCTCGGGGATCTTTAGCCAGAAGGAAAAAAGGTAAATATTTTGGATTTCCTTTACAAAGGAAATTGAACAGAAAGATACTACACCCATTTTATTAAGTGTTACTAGGCTGTGTGAACTGTTTTACAGTTTACATGACTTATATTAATAAGTCAAGATAAAATATATCCATCAACTGGGTGGGTTTAAAACAAATTCAGTCTTTAGCATTAAAAGAATTATCACCTTAGAAGTTGAAGAGGTTGTGTTACTAGAAAACCAAATAAATGGAAAGTGTATAAATTAATGGAGTTAATATTTATCCTAATAGTAAAGAAGCAAATCAAAGAAGTTTATTAAGTGCTTCATATTCATAATCAGTGACTGCAAGGATAGAACACCATCCTGTAAGACACTATCCTCGTAAAGGAGTGAACAGTCCAACAGAGGAAAGTGTAGCAAAGTGAAGAGTATTCAGTGGAGAGGGTGCTCCCCATGATAGGCATAGAAGACTTTGTAGAGGGGCAAGGACATAAGCGTGGCCTAGTTAGAGTGGTGAAGCAGGGGCCTTCTTCCTTAGTGAAATACTCTTGGCCAGAACACCAAGGCAAGACTAAGCCTGGGGTGTTTAGGTCCTAGAGATTTTGACTCAGTAGGTCAGGGAGGGGTCATAAAATGAGGTGAGAGTAAAGGAAAATATGTTTGATTACTGCAGAATCTTTTCTTGTTTATCTGAAAAGCAGAAGCATAATCTCACTGGAATGTGGAATAAATTCAATCCTTTCTTGAACTGTTAATTTTGCTGTATAAATATATTTGCATTTATAATAATATTTATTACTTGTGATATTAAAATTTTGTAAAAACTAGATTATTTGGTCTTGTATGAAAGAGAATCCCCAATTAACAGACATTTTTAATCTTACTGATAGGATCATTACACTCACAGTGATTATTCTGAAGGCTTACAGTGTCCTTGATTGGTTTTTGAATTTCAAAGAATGATTACAGTGGTCAGTATAAATACGCCTAACTTTAGTGCTCTAACCCCAGTTTGGCATGGATAACTGTATTAACTAGAATATTAGATAACCTGAAATTCACCAATTGTGTGAACAAAAGAAAATTTAGTTTGTTTCCTTTTATAAAAAGATTTCTGTTAGTTTGTCTTAGATTCATTTTTCTGTCCAGATTATGATCTGATATTAGTGAGTAGATATTAGTACAATCTTGAGGAATTTTTTTTTTATCTTCTTTCATAAAGGGTAATAGAGAAATATAAAGCTGGAAGCATTATAATCTCTCCCTCCTGCGCCTATCAAGTATAAGGCAATATTAATTTTCATTTACCAGTAAGAATGTTTGCTTGACTTATTGAATATTCCGTGGGTATATTCAAAGAAAGAAGGCTAATGCTAAATTGTGGCCCAATTTTAAAAAATATTAGTTTAATTGTGATGTGAGTGTAAACAGCTTTTAGAATTCAGGAATCTTCTTGTAACACCCATTAGTGTTACTCAGTGGGAGTCCTGTTGGCATTTTGGTAGGAATGTTGTGTTGTGTTCTGAACTGTCCTGGCTATTGCTGGATGTTTTCCATACCTGGCTACCGCCCACTAAGTGCCGGTAGCATGTGCTAGTCAATGTGACAGCCAAAATTGGCCTTAGAAATTTCTAAAAGGGAGAACCATTGACTTTACTATAATTTCAGGATATAAAGAACGGAGTCCTTCATGTAAGCCTCTCTAGATCTTTTGATATGTAGAAAATCTGTGCTTCCAGATAAAGAATAATTGATATGGGCCAATTTTGTTTCTTGAAGATACCAAGAAATTTCTCAGTGACAGGCCTATGAAACGTTGACAAGAGTTGCTTCAGGCAGCTGGTATTTACTGAGCTTCTTTTGAGGAATATGAAACAAAGGATTAATTGTATTTTCTAAATGTGCTGGTACCTTTTAAATAAGTATCTGTGACTTGAGGCATGTTCTTTTATGGCAATTGATGATAAAACTAAAAACTTTTTTTATTTGTCAAAAGAACTTTATTAGACATGTAATAAACATTTACCGACTTGTAACATTTCCCCTAAAATAAGTTAGGACTTGGGGCACCCGGGTGGCTCAGTTGGTTGGGAGTCTGACTCTTGATTTCGGCTCAGGTCATGATCTCACGGTTAGTGAGTTCAAGCCCTGTGTCAGGCTCTGCGCTGATGCTGCGGAACCTGCTTGGGATTCTCTCTCTGCCCCTCCCCCACTTGTGTGTGCATGCACTCTCTCTCTCTCAAATAAATAAACTTTAAAAAATAAATAAAATAAGTTAGGACAGAATTATCCATACAAATCTTAGAAGATAGCTTGGCTATCTTATTGAACTGATTTGTTTTAGGTGACCTTCTAACTAAAGAGGCAAATCCACTGTAAGTACAAGGTTAAGTTATATACATTAAATACATTAAAGCTAGAACAAGTAACAAGTAAAGCTCGTTCCTTTAGTGTTGGTATTTTAAACCCAGAAATTAATAAATTGCCACTAAACTTCATACTGTGTATAAAGCTCAAGTATTTTATAGGTTGAAGTCACTTGCTTTCTGTTTTGTTCCTTGGGGCACTTTTCAACAGATTCCATTTAGTTCAGATTTCAGTTTATTTAAACAAGTAGTCATCATTACAAAACAAGACTGAAAAGTGAGATGTTGGTGATCAGTTTATTCTGTATTAGTTGACTTGGGGAATCAGTACTTCACTGGGCATGTATCTTTATTTTGTAAAGTGATTTAACATAGTAATGTGAATGAAGTATGAGTTGTGTAATTGACCTATTTAGTGATGCTGAAAAATTATGCTGGAAGCTTTAATGTTACATTCTTTGTCAGCTTTTTTAGTGTTTTTGTAAAAGCAGCAATGGTATTGATGCTTATTTTTTTCCTAATATTTAAGTTCATATAATTTGGTGTTTAGAGGTGAAGTTTACATATGTTATTCCCATAGAAACCAAAGTAGAGCTCTGTTGCACTCTTGATTGAGGTTGTAGCTTTTAATTAATTCATTTAAGGATTATAACCAGGAATGCTATTTCCTCAGCAGGGAAGAACAATTAACCAGTTTATTAATTAGACCCCTGTTTATAGTTAGTTATAATTTTGAAATTTGTTTGAAATAAAGTCTTACGCTCTTAATATGAATATTAATTCTTATCGGCAAGGGATACTATTTCTGTGTTTAAGAACTGAGGTGCTGTAAATTTTTTTAATTTATTCATTTATTTTAAGAGAGAGAGAGAGAGAGAGAAAGCGAGTGAGCATGGGGAAGGGGCAGAGAGAGAGAGAATCCCAAGCAGGCTCCACTGTGTGGAACCCCACACAGGGCTTGAGCCCATGAACTACAAGGTCTTGACCTGTGCCGAAAACAAGATTAGGATGTTCAAATGACTGAGCCACCCAGGGGCCCCAGTTCTGTAAATATGTTTTTGCTGGGGAAGAGGATAGCCTTGCATAAAGTAACAAATATTCTTCTTAATGTAATAGAATGTTAAATCATTCTATTAAATGAAATTTTAAATGTTCGTGTATTTTGGACAATTTTGTACTTTTATAAAATTTTATAATTTTACATTTATATGTAAAATACATTTATATATTTATAATTTATAACTTTTAATATTTTAGCTATTAAAGCCCCATTTTATTTTATTTTATTATTTTTTTAATATGAAATTTATTGTCAAATTGGTTTCCATACTAAAGTCCCATTTTATAAAGCTTTAGTGCTTATTAAACTTACTGCCCTCATTTGGTAACATTAGCCATTTTATTGTTTCCAAATAATTTTACAAGTTCTGTAAGAATTACCAGAGACTTTGCTTAGGGAGAGCAAATTTGGAATGGTTAAGTCCAAATTTAAGAAGTTAATTCAGGAATTCCTGGGTGGCTCAGTTGAGTGTCCAACTCTTGATTTCAGCTCAGGTCATGATCCCAGGGTCATGGGAGCCCTGTGTGTCCTGCTCCACACTGAGTGTGGATCCTGCTTAAGATTCTCTCTCTCCCTCTGCCCCCTTCCCCGCTCACTCTCTCTCTCTCTAAAAGAAAAGAAAAGGGGCGCCTGGGTGGCTCAGTCAGTTGAACGACTGTCTTCAGCTTTGGTCATGATCTCATGGTCTGTGGGTTTGAGCTCCGTGTTGGGCTCTGTGCTGACAGCTCAGAGCCTAAAGCCTGCTTCAGATTCTGTGTCTCCCTCTCTCTCTTCTCCTCCCCTGCTTGTGTTCTATCAAAAATAAATAAACGTTAATAATAATAATAATAATAGAAAAGAAAAAAAATTTTATTTGTTGCACAATAACATACTTGGGATTTCAGGACTTGGAATCAATACCAGTAATGGTTCATAGAGACTTTGTACTTTAATTGTAGAAATAAACACTCGATTTAAGATATTTAGGTTAATTAAGAGTGTGGTTGGATAATTATATTTAAAAATTAGAGACCTGGCTAGACTATAGCAGATTGCTTCTGTTTAATGTATAATTATTTCTTGCTTTTATATATTTTAGGTTGTTGCTCAAATGATGTGGTTGATGGACCATATTTTTAAGTATACAAACTTTGGAATTGTTTCTCTGATTCATGGAGACTTCTTTATAAGACAGGTAAGTAATGAGTATTCTTTTTTAACAGTGATAGCCTGATTAAACTGACAATTTATTATAAACATGGGCATAACAAGACCAATTATAATAGATAGAGCCAGTTACACTATCTTAGGGAGCTCTTCCTCCGAATCTTTGTTCTCTGAAACATTTATTTCAATCTGAATTTGAGTATGCTCAAGCAGTGAAATGGTGACATTGCAAATACTTTAATCTCTATCCTCCTCCTCCTGTCTAAACAGTGCAATGCTTAGTAACCATTTATCAAGCACCCGCCACATTCCCAGCTCTTCTGCTTCTTAGCCATGTGAAGCAGGCAAGTTATTTAAATTTCCAGTTTCCTCATTTTTCAGATGAGAATAATAGGTACTCCCCTCATTGGGTGGGTGTGGGGGTTAAATTAAGTATACACTCAGAACAGTGCCTGCCCCCTTCGTTGTCATTTTCATCACAATTACCCCATCATCATCTGTATTTTCACTATTACTTTTATTTACAAGTCATTGTTCTATGATATAGAAGGTATCTAAATTACCAGTAGGTAGGTAGGGTAGGTAGTTAGGTAGGTAAGTAGGTAGACAGGTAGGTAGGTAGGTAGATAGATAGATAGATAGATAGATAGATAGATAGATTGATAGATAGATAAATATATATATTTTGGTGACTCGTAGTAGGAAAAGTGAATCCATCAGCTTTTTATGAATACGGAAAATATTTATTTATTTATGTTTTTGAATCCAGAAAAACTGTAGAGTAGAAGATGATATTTGGCACAAATGTAAAGAATGAATATGGGTTTGTTAGAGAAAGGTAGATTGAGAGTGGGTCTGAAGCATTAGGGATAGTTCACTGTATGAGAAAGAATCCTACCTTCTTATCCAGTCAGCACTACATGATAGTATCTCCCTGTATGCTAAGGATCACACGCTTTATTTTCTCAAAAACTGAAATACGATATGCAGGAGTTTTTATGTATGGTAATGCTTCACTGTTCTGGTATTTATATATTTAGCAGCTTCAGCCTTGCACATAATAATTACTTAATGAATAACTGATGAATCTGATTAAGCCTCATGAGAACCACAAATTCTGGAAACCTTCTGGAAACCACAAAGCTGGAAGTATGTAGAAAAACTTCTAAGCTCTATGAATGTAGGTGTGAGAAAACACATATACTTTACTCCAGACAATTTTATGTACAGAACATTTTTGTTTTTCATATGCTGTGCAATTATCTGCTTTCTTTTGGAAACACTCTTGGTGCTTCTGAGCAGAGAGATGAATAAAAGCACACGCTGGAGCCTTTCTGCAATTTCCCCTCCTACCTCTGTCTTCCTCACTCTTCACTCATCAGCCACACTGGCCTTGGAACTGTTCTTTGAACATGCAGAGCTCCTTCCTATCTCAGGGACTTTGTCCTGTTTGCTCTTGTCACCTAGAAGACTCTGCCTCTCCTCTCCACTTGACTGGGACCCTCACATCACTAGCTCCTTGCTCCAGTTTCGCCTCCCCGGGGCTGCTGACCCTGACCTTGTCGACCTTCTCTATCCTCTTACTCTTTTTATTCCTAACACATCACCAACTGAGTTTACACTTCGTAGTTCTCTGTCGTTTCCATTTGAGTCAGTTCCGTGAGGGTCTCTCATTACCTCTCTATCTCCAGGGTGTGGGACAGTACAGTGCCTGCTGAGCAGTAGGGGCTCTGTAAATAGTCACTGATCTGATGAATGAGTGAACTCTCAGGAGCAAGTAGAGCAGTGTTTTTCTTTTGGAGTGCTAACGTAATATAAGCGCTAATCACTTGATTTTACCACTGTGGTCAGAAGGGGAGGGAAGGAGGGGGGACATCACTATACTTTAGAAACTGTTGTTTCTATTTAATTTTATGGCATCTTAATTTCCAATGTGTATCTACTTATTCTATATGTATCTGCCTTCATAGGGAAAATCACATCGTGACCAGCAGCTTCTTCTTCTCAAAAAGCACCTAGAAAATAACTATAGGAGCAGAGATCGAAAATGGATTGTTTTGTTTCCAGAAGGGGGCTTCCTCAGGAAGAGGCGAGAAACAAGTCAAGCATTTGCCAAGAAAAATAACTTGCCATTTCTTACACATGTCACTCTGCCAAGGATCGGGGCAACAAACATTATTTTGAGTGCACTTGTAGCACGACAGGAAAATGGAAGTCCATCAGAAGGAGACGCTAAAGAATTAGGTATGATGGTTTTTAGCATTTTTTTTCTTTTGTTGGAACTCAGGGATTATCTGGAGTTCCAGAAGATAACATTATTGTTCTTTTTTATAATTTTTATCAAATAGAAATAATACTCAAGGAGAAGATGAAAATTTAATGTTTTAATGTTTCTATTTACAGAGTTCATGCTTATAATCATTTATTCACATAACCCAGAAATGCATAAAGTCAAAGGTGTCTTTCCTTACACTGCTTACCCATGCTTCTAGTCATTCCCACTTCTGCAGTAAACATTCATATAAATATCTTTACATATTTGTGGAAGTCTGTAGTATAGATTCCTAGAATGGAATTGCTAGGGCAAAGGTACAGGAACAGAAATGACTGATTTGAAAACCTAATGATAGATACGCAAATGGAAATAGTAATAATGTATATTTCGTTCATTTATCAAATGTAGAAAGTTTTGAGGGTTTGTTTTTAAGAGTATGAACTTAATGCAGTTTCACAATGTTTATGAAGAGCCTTCAAATGACTCCCATCATTCCACTACAAATAATACTTATCAAAAGGAAATAATCTGAAATACCGGCAAAAGGGTTTATCCCAGCATTATTTTTATATATTTATTTTTAATTTTTAATTTTTTCTCAGCATTATTTTTAATAGCAAAAAATTGGAAATAGAGGGGAGAACAGAGAAGTAATATCAAATATCCAACCAACACAATATAACCACACGGCCATTACAAATGATGTATACAGAGGGGTTTTATGGCTTTGGAAAAGGCTCATGCTGTATCATGTTAATGAAGTGCGAGGGACATACAACTCTAGTGAAACTGTTATGAGCTCAAATGTGTCAAATGTAGGAGATGAGCTCAAGGAGAGATTCCAGATGTTATCAGTGATTGCTTCTCAGAGCTATAACTTTATGGATGATTTTCCCCCATTTCTTAATACTTTTCTGAAATTAAAATTTTAAGGTTTATTTATTTTTGAGAGAGAGACAGAGAGAGCAGGGGAGGGGCAGAGAGAGAGTGGGACAGAGGATCTGGAGCTGGTTCCGTGCTGATGGTGGAGGGTCCAACTCAGGAACCCTGAGATCATGATCTGAGCTGAAGTCTGACGCTCACCCGACTGAGCCACCCAGGCACCCCCTGAATTTTTTTTATAATGAGTATGTATTACTTTTATGGCCAGGAAAATGCAAACCACACTCAAAGATGCAACTGTCTTGGAGATAGCCTGGTGCGTTGTGAAGGTTTGCAGAAGGTATTTGTGCCAGTAACACGAAGACTGTTTTGAACAAGTTTATCTGAGATACTGTGAAATTTGGTGACAAATGATAAATTAAAAAACTGAAAGAAACTCACCAGGCCTGTTTCCTCAGTAGTGTTTTACTGTTTAAAAAATATATTCTTCAGATAAAATAAAAATAGAAATGATTGACCCTCAGAAATATGTGTTTTTAAATGAGGGTTAGGACCAGACATAGAGATAATGCCTGTAAGATTGCACTGAGTTTTCCATTCATGTGTTTTTTTAAGCAGCTGCTTGGCAGTCAGCTCTCTTAATCTTTCATCATCTATTAAAAAGACAAATTGAAATAATCTTTTAATAGAAAAGGAAAGTTCAGAATAGCTTCAGACAGCCACTGTGGCAATGTCAGCCAAGCCAAGGCTTGAAGGCAAAGGTCTTCCAAATAGAATTAGTTGCACTAATAAAGACTGCTGTTTTGCAATAGTTTTCTCCAGTCAATAATACCCTGTGGTGTCTAGATCTCAAAGGTAGGGGCAATTGTCATATTGATCACACAATAGTGAAGAATTTTTTTTTCTTTTGGAGAGAAACAATTTCTTTTTATAACCAAAGCAAAGTAGTTTATAATTTATCTTACCTTAGTTAAAATTTTTATTCTAGATGTTTAGGAAAAGTAAGAAATTCTAGAAAGTTATATACCCTAAAACTAGTTTTACTTGTATTTTACCATTTTCTTCTCTATGTTTGGTATTTTGTGTCTTATTTTCTTTAGTATTCATATTCACTGTTTAGTGTTTTGTTCCATATAAACACAAAACAGGTCTTTGTATCTGTTTTAATATGTGATCCATACACATATCAAAATTAAGTTGTGTCTGATTAAGGGTTAGTATTTTTTTGTTTCTTGTGTGATTTAATATATATTAAACTGAACTCTGATGATTTTCCCAACCATTTTGTTATAAAACTTGTTAAGCATCCATAAAAGCTGAATGTTGTAGTTAATATCACTAGCTGAGTGCTTGCTTCGGCAGCACATATGCCACTAGCTGGCCAAATAGATTCTATAATTAACATTTTGCTATATTGACTTTATCCTGTCTTTTTCTACCTTTCTATCCATCCATTAGTCCATCTTCTTTTTTTAATGCACTCAAAGTAAGTTACAGACATCAGTATATACTTTACTCCTAATCATTTCAGCATGTACATCATTGGTAACTTGTTAAAATGTGTTTCCTTACATAAATACTCTGTTCCTTTACCAATAGGTTACTTAAACATTATTATTATTTTACCTAATTTTTGTTTAAACCCTTTTTTTGATAGTTTGTTTTTTGAAAAAGAAGGAGGGAGAGCATGAACACAGAAGGGGCAGAAAAGAGAGGGAGAGAGAGAATCCCAATCAGGCCCTATGCTCAGAGTGGAGCCCAACGTGGGCCTTGATCTCATGACCATGAGATTATAACCTGACCTGAAATCAAGAATTGGATTCTCAACCAACGGAGCCACCCAGGCGCCCTTTCTTTTCTTTCTTTTCTTTTTTTTAAACCTATTTTTATGGGAATTTTTCCCCTTCAGAATATTATCAAAAAAAATTTTTTAACTCAAAGGTCAGCTTTTAGCTATTTGATATACACAAGTAAAATATCATTAATTCTTACTGCACATTTAGTCTTACGTTTAAGTTTTATTTTTTTAGAGATCTCTTAAATACTTCAAACAAAGGACAGACTATCACACAAGTCTGGCTATCTGTACTCTCTGGGAAGATTCATCTCTCAATTCTTGCTCTAACTCCATGCTGGGAATAAAAGCAGCATGCAGAGGACCAAAGTGAACAGAACTTTCTTACTGCCTCTCACAATAGCAGTTACCTGTTGTACCTACCAAAGGGTGGACAGTTTTATTGCTTTATTTGTATAGAACTCCTGCTAAAATGGGAGGAGTTTGTGTTAAACAAAAACAGCAACTGACAATCGTGTGACAGTAAAATGCTTAATTTGGGACCTTATTCCAGTATTTATTAATTTTTTTTTTTTTTACTTTTTTTTTTTT